TCCGCCTGAGTTGCTGAGGCCAAGGTCCTTCCACAATAAGTCTAAGCTGCTTGCCCAGAAAGTTCCTATGGTTGTGGCTGTGATAGTTTCTGGGTGAGTCGCTGTCAGGGCAATAGCCCCAAACCCTGAGCCATATGTAATCACAATGTACATGTGGGTAAGCAGTGAAGGAGAGAACAAAGGAAGGTCAGTTGGGAGGTTCAAACGAGACCACCACCAAGCTGTTCCCTGGTTCTTTAGTTAGGATGGGTGTCATATCCGTGCATACCCGACCCCGACCCGACTTCCGGACCTCCACCCTCTTCACCTCTGGAGTCATAACCTACCGCTGCCGTTCCGATACTCACCTTCGGTCCTGGCAACACACCTCCTCCTACTACTCCGCTCCCCCTTCACAACACCTCCACCCTCCCGTTATCCTCCTACGCTTCCCCCGTCCGCTCCGATACTCACCTTCGGACCTGACTACTCTCCTTTCCGCCACTTTCTCCTCCCTCCGTTACTCCTCCACCACCCTTCCGCCAAGTTACGACCTTCTACCGTTGTTCCGTACTTCGCACTCGGACACCGCTCGTACCTTACTCCGAGCCTCCGTCATAGTCCCTACCTCGGACTTTGACTCCACCTCGGCCTTAGTCCATTGCATTGGTGACCTCATACTACGTAAACACCATTGCCAATATTCCTCGGACTTCCAACCCCGCCTCCGTAACCTCCGTAAGCTCCACAACCCCCGAGCTTCGCGGACCGCCTTCGGCGCTCTCGCCACCTGTAATGTATTTCTCGCATTTTCCCTTCATCCCTATTTGGACTACTGCTTCCTTCTATTCTAGCCAGTTAGTCATCATCCCCACTTCCCCTCATCCTCCTGCCCCTCTGGGCCTCGCCCTCTCTACCTCCTTTCGGACATATCACAGGTCTTGCCCTATGACCTTCGGTACCGCTCCACTCCCTCTACCCTTTGTTCCCGTTCGGACGTCTTCGTTCCGATTCGGTCACCCTTTGTTCTCTTTGTGCTTTTGCCCCTTCCATTATATATATCGGCGCTTGTACATACTCGTCTTGGTTTCAGTCCGAAATCGACCTGAAATGCCCCCAAGAGACTTCCTGCTCACCTACTGTGAAATTAAGGACCAAATGGACAAACAGCAATGGCACAGCGCTCCGCTTGAGTTGCTGAGGCCAAGGTCCCTCCACGCTAAGTCTCCGATTCCACTCCGGAGTCGTCCGTTTCCGCCCATTCTAACAAATGCAATAGTTGCAAGGTCGGAAGTAAGTCTGGAAAGTCTGAACTTGGAAGTCAAACTCCGGAATATTGGCAAAGGTAAATAAATAGAATTGGCTAACCAATACAATGAGTATAAGTGGAGGTGGGGTCAAAGTCTGAGGTCGGAGTTAAGACTGGAGTTCTGAGGTGAAAATGTGAATGGGATTCCGGAGCAGAGGTCTGGAGTCAGGAGCAAAGTTGCATACTTGTCTGGAAGGTGTTGAGGTTGAGGTTGGACCTGGAATGGTCCAGAGTTGGACCGAAGGTGGTGTTGGAGCCAGAGGTGGAATAACCTCTTGGGAGTCAGCAAGAAGAAGGTGGTGGAAGGGAAGTGGGGCTCTGGAGTCAGTTCCGGAGGAACCTGGAGTGGAGGTCAGGATTGTATGGATATGACAGAAGGGGTATCTGGAACAGTGGTTGACATGGTTTGGAAGTGGGGTGCTTGTGGAATCATGATAATCGGCCTGTTTGCATGGTACCAGCTGTGCCTGCCTACAACATCATCATGTATATAAGGACAGGACTTGCCCAGGCAGCTGATACACCACTAATGTAGGTATCACACTGCTCAGACCGTAGGCAGAGCATCCAAATTTCCTGCACAATAAGCATATCTTCTGAAGTGTCAGAGTTCATGTGAACAGCACGCTTTGCATGAATGTGTTGGAGGCACACACCAGTGAGGTGAACTTAGAGCATTGCAAGTGGGGGCAGACTCCACAGAGGGGAGAGATGGGGAGGGGGGATGAAAGGAAACCACTCCAGCCAACCCCCCGATGAGACAGGGAAGGAGAGTGGGGGCCCAAGAGGGTCGTTAGGTCGTCTAGACCAGGTCTGGAAAAACTAACACACACTCAGCCAACACCGACTTGTTGGACTTGTCGCACCCCAGAGCACACTGACTCCAAGCTAGGTGGGAGGAGGGGGGAGATTCTCTGTACATAGTTAAACTACCTAATCCTATATACAACTGACCCTGAATATGTCTGCAAGCTTCCAGAAGGTTCCATATGAGTCCCTCTGGTCACATTGCAAGAGAAAAATAAATGAGAAACACAAAAATCACAAGCAACAAAATATAAAACAATAGAAAGTGGCCACAGAAATCCCAACTTGCATCTCCAGCCCAAACCACTCAGTACAACAGTGCTCCCTTCATGCCTACCAGCTTTCCTAAACCACAGCTATCCAATGCAACAAACCACATTCAAATTGATGGAGAATTGGGTGAGATAGGGAAAATTGTGGGGAATAACATCAGCAAAAAATTGTTATGCTCCTGAGTGCTCCGGAGTATCGAGAGCACTGGGAGAATCAGGAGGAGATTGGCTGGTCCAGGAACAGCCCATTTCCTCCGGAGTTGGCTAGGTACTCCAGGGCACTCCCAGGAGGGCCTGGAGCATTGCTTTGTGCACAAACATATCCAGTAAATACAATTTAAATGCTTCAAAGTGTATAGGGGTGAGAAGCTTCTGGGAGCTCCTGGAGCATTTGAAAATGAAAAGGAAAAAAGAAGAGGGAAGATCCCCCATGAATACCTCCTACCACAAGACTAACACAACAAGACACTGCTTAACATTTAGATCAAACACTATACTATATATCAAGGACACTGAGACTCACCAATACACAATCAAAATTTATGGCCTGATATATGATTAATCTGGCAACTTAATCACTTTCAGGCTGGCAGAATATGGGGGAGGGGGAAATGGGGGAGAATGAGGGGGGGAAATGAGGGGGAAATGAGGGGGGAATGAGGGGGGGATATAGAGGGAAATGAGGAAAATTTGAAAAATAGGGACTTCTAAAAAGTTGAAAAAAATAATTAGGGAAAAAATCAAAAAAATTCAGGAACTTGAAGTGCTTTCAGGATATATAATTATTTGCAAAATCGAGGAAGAAATGATGGAGAAAAATGGAAAATACTTTCGGAGACCCGAGAAATAATGAGAACTGAATTGATGGGAAAGTCTGAAAATTGAATAGGAAAGTGAGGGGAAGCCTTGTAGCATTGTTATTTTCTGCTGTTCTGATTTTTCCCGATTCTTCTTGGTCTCATTCCCAGCTGCTCCTCAATACTCCTGGAAGCTCCTGGGAGGGTCCAGGAGCAGCTGGGAGTGAGACCAAGAACAATCAGGAAAAATCAGAACAGCAGAAAATAACAATGCTTACAAGGCTTCCCCTCGCTTTCCTATTCAATTTTCAGACTTTCCCATCAATTCAGTTCTCATTATTTCTCGGGTCTCCGAAAGTATTTTCCATTTTTCTCCATCATTTCTTCCTCAATTTTGCAAATAATTATATGTCCTGAAAGCACTTTAAAGGCACTATAGTTCCTGAATGTTTTTTTGATTTTTCCCTAAATTTTTTTTTTCAACTTTTTAGAGACCAAAATTTTCCTCCCACTGCTCCTGGCACATTACATACTCCTCACCACTCCCAGCTGCTCCTGAACCCCCTCCCAGGAGAACACTATTGGCTCCAGGAGTGCCCAATCTGCTGTTTTGTCTCCCACATGCTCCAGCCACTCTTGATGCTCCGGAGCATAACGGACTTTTGCTGATGAACCGGCACATTTCTCAAACTTTCCAACTACATATCCCCATAGTCCCAAATTTGGTAGATCCTCCTGACCAGTCACATCATGAACAATGACTATTTTTTGTTGATGAGCGACTTATGATCTTGGAGCTGGACTATAAGCAGGAAGCTCAGTCTCAGCTAATATGCGTGAAGAACTGATATATTACCTATAAGCGGGAAGCTGAAGGTAATGTACATATTGTAAGTTACAATAGTAAAGGAAATAGTAATAAAGGAATGTTATAACTAACCTCAGTCTCAGCTAATATGCGTGAAGAACTGAGGGAAAAGGAAATGAATTCAAATGAATGAATATATCCGTGGCCTGGCACGGGTTAGTCCGAAATAATATAAAAGAGGTCTTGTGACTAAGTAGTCACATGGTGGATTCTGGGCGAGTTGCTCTCCCAGAATGTTCCCACGCTAACGCAGGAATGTGGCTGTTCAGGTTAACCCTCATAGCACATGGTTCCTCCAACATTTTTTCCTATTTTTCCAAGGTCTGAGGGACACCAGAGACTGTCTGTGCACCCCGTTTCCCACACATGCGCAACGGACATGTGACATCCAATGCGGCACAACATCTGAAATCCTCGTATCTTGACGAGTTCCCAGCCGATCTTCCTCGCGCAACGTGCGTTGGAATCGCCTTCACATCCTCTACCATCCGTACTATGGGCTCGTCACGAAATTCCTGGCTGTCCTTCCACTGTAGGTTTTCCACTATTTTCCCGCATGTGAGACCCGATATTTCACCTGTTTTGGGGTGTCTGTGACCACCACCCCTACCGTCAAGACCCATTTTCAAGCATGATTCCATGTTCAGAATATAGCGTAAGAAACAACAACGGAAATTGCTGGAGTGCTCAGAGAAACAACAACAGAAATCACAGCGCATGGTTTCCGTCGTTATTTCTGGGAAGTAGACTCTGATCGGAGACGTCGAAAAAGTCCCAGTTCAGAAATATCAGCGGAAAGTAGAGGACTGCTATTCCCGCGACTAGGAACATCAGGAGAAACCACAGCTCGGAACGTAGTGAGTGATTGTGGAAAGAGCTGTGGAAATTTTGGCTTAAACGTGATCATTTGGTACAGAATCACCCTTAGATATACCGTGAAGCTACACACATTCTCTAACACAGTTGAATGAGGTGCATATAGGTGCAAGAAAACAGTCAATGTCTAAAAGCATAGCCATAGGCAGAGAGAGTCTGCAAGAGACGTGTAAAATCAGCAACTCAGGCTCGTACACAACTTGAGACACCAATTTTGATGGTTCACGCACCACATCGTAACGATAAGTAGCCAAGATGCCCGACGGATTTATCGTGAGATAGATAACCTGGTCCTCCCAATATTTCCACACGATTGATAGCGTTAGGCTCGCTGTGCAGAAGTGGCCCAAGTGAGTATCGCTGTGCAAATATGAACAGAGAGGCCCTTCACCACCAAGGGTATGAATCCATGAACGGAATAAAGGAGACACTTACTGTGATTACTATCCACCCAATTGGCCGTGATATTCTTAGTTGTAGGATCGTAATCCCAAATCGCCGTCTCATAGTGCTTGTTATCAACGGAAACTGCGCCACCAGACTTAGGGGTGTCATTGGCTTGGGCTGCAGTTGGCAAATTGATAGAATTGGATTGGGTTAGGTGGCGAATGCTCCCGGACCGACGTACTTTGCACTGAAGATCCCAAAATAGCATAGTTCCCCTTCCCCTTACCGAGTTCAACCCCCGGATCGATGAGACCTGCCAAATAGGGATAAGCACTCGAAGTGTTCTGGAGAATTGCATTTGTAAATCAAATTCAATAGTAAACAGAGGAAGAAAAGATAACGCACTGTACCACTCCGGAAGCTTGCGCTATGACTGATGCCATTTTGATGAAATGAGGTCGAGAAAAGATCGCCCTCCCGATCTACTGTGTACCTATCAATCAAGAGGCAGGTGTCAACTCAGATGTGGCATGACTGAAGAAATCGGACGAAACACCCACCGATTGCCAGTGGAGCCGGAGCTCAGCGCGAGGTATCCAAGTAAGCTTCCATTATTCGCGGAATTTACTCGAATTCTTCCGCTCCAGACGTATGTGTCGCTGCCCTCTGCCCTTTTGGCAGCTGGAGATCACACCGCATTAGAGTCACGCCATACATCTTCGTGCTACACGTCAGTGAAGGTGGCTGCAGACTTACTCTCAGTTCGTGAAGCTTCAATATCCCACCTCCTAGCTGGCGGTAAAAGAGGCAAGCCCCTCGCGAGTCGCTTCGCGTTCGTTTCTCCGTGCACAGGGTCCCGGAGCTGAGGCGCAAGGCGGCGTAACACCTGCCGTTGGGGAAAGGGGAAGGCGAAGATGGAAGCAGTGAAGAGGAGAAGCAAGAAAAGAGCGGCGCCCTTGAACATGTTGGAAAGCCCCGCCGTAGCCTGAGGGCAGAACAAAGGAGGCGAGGGAGTTGCTCTGGTTGCGACTCGCTGGTACAAGCGACCCAGCCAAGCCCTTAAGTAAATGAGGAATCCCAGGTAATGGAAGAAATGGAAAAACCTTAATGGCGAAACATTAAATATATTGATCCCGCTTAATCCTCCATATTTGTGCCAGTGGGCACGTATCGACATTATCAGTACTAGAATAGTTGCGCAAGTGCACAGAATCGCAGCAAGTTGCGCGTCCAGCAATCTGGGGTGCGACCATCATTCGGGTGTTATGTTTGTCGAAAGGAAAGGTAGGCGTGGACGGAACCGACGTGATCAGCTAAGAAAGCAGCCAATGAAAAGCCATTTGCGTCACACATGCGTGAAGCGAAGTCAGACAGGAGTCACCATTCATATGGTGGAGAGGAGATGGGGATGAAAGCCATTAGCGACAGGCACAAGCTGCCAGGCAGATACCATGACCAACTTCTGTAACAAGCTGCATCCTATCAGCACTCCTTAGTATGCTCGGCAAGTGGGCTGCGATCGAGTCCCTGGTTCATAAGAAGGTCTCGCTAATAACCTTGAACGGACCCCTGGCAACACTGGGTCTGAATTGAAGATGATCAATATATTATTATTGCCCCATAGCTCCTCAGCCGGGATTGCCCCATTTGATGGGAACTCATGTAGCCATTACTCTGCACCAGAGTCACTCGATACCGATATTAGTAAATTTCTGACGCTGAAACTGCTGAAATTTATTTCCTTTTTGGTCGTTCTGTGTAACGCTTTGTACGTCATTCGCTTTCCTCTTTTGTGTCTCACATCACGTTTTCTTTTCTGCTTTGCGGTGTTGGCCGACTATACATATTTGTCTATTTGTCCCCCTTGCTCTACTTTTACATTCTTTATCACATGGTCTCTTTTTTTGATTTCTACTACATAACAATCACCTTGGACAACCGATATCTAGGCCTATAGAGGGGGGTTCTCAGGACGTTCAAAGAGGGCCTAGAGGCCTCTTTTGTATGGGAACATCCCGGGATGTCCTGAGATGTCCTGAGAATTCACTTTCAATTCAAACATTCCGTCTGGGATGTCCGTAATTCAAACTGAAGTCACATGTCTGTTGCTATCCACTTCTGTAGCTGTGTGCATCCTAGAAATTGCCGAATCATGAGTTGGAGTGATAATACGAAATAAAGAGGAATTTTAGAGGAATTTATTGCAAAAAAACCGATGGAAAATGGTTGAGAACTGATGGAGAAATGCCCAATTCTCGGTTCACTCAACACCGCATGGGAGTGGCATGCGTGGGAAATGACATGCAAGGTCAAAGCTTAGTGCTTCTCAGATGTCGAAAAAATACGAGAAAATATGTAAAGTTTACTTTGAAGACATGTATTGCAGTGTGCAAACTTTGAGGACATTTGAACTACTATTCAGCAAGATAGGGGAAATGCACGATATATTCCCCGCTCCTCCCATACTATCTTGCTCATTTTTCCATCATTTTGAATGAGACCAGCTGCATTGGAAAGCTAAGGTTTAGTATAGTTGAATGGTGTAAGGTTAGCACGGTTATGGGGACCATTTTCAGTTCCCAAGCAGGATTCTCATGCATAACATAACTTTCAACTTCTTACCCCATGATCTCCACAACTACGCCTTTAAAACAAACCTTCTTATGCTCGATCGATAGAGCGGGATTATTTCTCCTATCACGAAGATTTTTGTGCTGATTGGATCAATATTAGTAGAGATTCTTGCATGTGGTCCATTCAACACCATGCTGAATCTCACATGGACTTGACAGCACCTGTCAAGAACCACTGGGCCAATTTGAATAGAATTGAGCTTGTTGGAAAGCTGAAGGGGAGGAGAGGTTATTGGAGCTCAAAAAAAGGCATGAAAGGGGACGGTTTGGTTTTGCATCGACCTTCTTTCATATCAGGCTGCTCCAGCAGTATTTCCCCCATACATCCCCCATTTCTTCATTCAATTTCCACATATTTTGTATCATTAGAAAGCTGTCATCCAAACGAATCGAAGTAGGCTGTAGCGGAGAGATTTAGTGCAGCCATTGTGGAAATCGTCAACTTTATTCATTGTGTGGCCATCAATCAGCATAATTTGCGAATATATTGACAAACCTGCCATTGATTTCTCTCAAAATTGGTACTGTAAGAAAAGTATACTCCACGGGCACTCACAATATTCTTTCATATTTTTAAGACTCCTGAGAGACTCTGGATGTCGACCTTTTCCCTTTTCCCACGCAATCCATGCTTGGTGAATATTCATGACAACACATGTTAGAACTTGGATGTGGTTATATATGCTTACATGTGACATAACATGTGTGTTCTTCCTAGCTATTAAGTTATAAATTTCCTCTTACCCAGAGCTTGTATGTACTTTTAAGTGATGGAAAGAGGAGAATCTTCCAAATCGGTGGAGATTTGACAGAGATGCCAGCCTCTCAAGCAACCCATAGTGCATGGGAAAGGGGCTTGCACATACCAGAGATAATGGTTATCTACAATGGCTCGTAAAATCTCAAAAATCTTTATAAGCATTAAAAATCCCTTTGAAAACACCACAGCAAAGTATAATTCCATAAATGCTCGAAATCATTGAGAAACATTGCCCACCTCAGCCTTAATTTCGATAATTTTGATTTATCTTTTCCATTTTCCTGTCTACTATTTATGTAAATAGCCATATGTACAACTTCCCCTAACATCGTGGGGCACATAGTTATCCCACAGTCCATTTTTGGCAGCGAGCCGCATCACCAGGACATCCCAGGATGTCCACATTGAAATAGGCCATTTAGGCCCTATTTGAAGTGTAAAAAATCACCCCTTGATAGGGTGGGTTAATTGGCTGACTAGCCTGATAACAATTCCCTTCCATTACTCCCCACTCCTTTTCCACTCCCACTCGACTTTGGTTTTCCTGTTAAGCCATTCTAACTGCTTATCTTCCTCCTCTAGCACTTCGCATGGTGTCATTGTAAACAACAAATCTTTGAAGTCACATATCAAGTGGATGTTTGCTTGCCCTCTTGCACATGATAATGTCATGTATGCATTGAATGGTGTCAATGCTCCCCTAGGTGGTGTGCCGATGTCTGCCCACAAATACTCAATCATCTGTCCTTGTGCCTGATAGTCTGTGAATGCATATGCCAAATCCATCATGATCTGGTGACATTGCACTTTCTTCTTTTCACCCTTACTTGTGAATAAATCCAAGGAGCGTACTGTTGGAAAAATGGGTATGGTGTTTGCAGTAACTCGTGAAAAGTGATAGATGCTCCATGGGATTTTTTGAAATTTCATGGATTTTCATGGATTTTCATGGAGTTCCATGAATTTTCTGACAAATTACATGACCTTTATAGCCTCCCATGGGTGGTCATGGGCTTCTGTGGATGTTCATGGACTCCCATGGGCATTCATGGACACCCATGGATGCTGTCATATCCATACACTCCTGACCTCCACTCCGGGCTCCTGTCATATCCATCCCCGGCCATCGACTTCCGGTCCCTCTGATTCCTCCGTTCCAACTCTGCTCCTCCCTCACTAACCTCGGAGCCCCCGTTATTCCGCAATCCTCTCGGTACCCCTCGATGGTCACCACCCCCTCATTTCAATTTATTACCTACGCCTCCCTAAGTACGGAGCCCCGAAGACTTCCGGACAGCTCCGACGTCCACTAGCGCACCCCCGCCTCCGCTGGGCAATACACTCGCCTGCCCTGCAGAGTCCACCTTTGGGCTTATCCCTCCTTTCCGTTTCTGGGTTATCGCCTGCCTTTCCGCTAACCCCGCGAACCGACTCATCGGTAATATTCAGTCGGCTAATGGTTAAACCCTGTTAGCTCCGCTCCGTTCGGCTCTGCCAATTGCGGAACCGTCTCCGCTGTAACCATATATATATCCCACTTGTACATAGGTTACGCCCCAGTAGAAAAATCAACTAGAGTTACCCCCCTAGGTTCTAATTGCCAGTCAGTAAGTTAGGGCACGGACGTGTCACTAGGCACAGCGCTCTTGGCAGAAGTCGCTGAGGCCGAAGCCCTCCGTTACGGAGACATTCCTCTCGAATCTGGTCTCTGACAGCTCCCGGAACTCTGAAACCGACTCCGGAGCCCTACTTCCCTTCCATCACCTTCTCCTTGCTGACTCCCAAGAGGTTATCCCACCTCTGGCTCTGACACCACCTTTGGTCCGACTCCGGATCATTCTGGGTCTGACCTCAACCTCAACACCTTCCAGACAAGGCAACACCTATGCTCCTGACTCTGGACCTCTGCTCCAGAATCCCGTTTGCATCTCCGTCTCCGGAACCTCCGGTCTTAGCTCCAACCTCAGACTTTGACCCCACCTCCGCTTATACCCATTGTATTGGTTAGCTCATTCCATTTAATTACCTTTGCCAATATTCCGGAGTTTAACTTCCGAGTTCGGACTTTCCGGACTTACTTCAGACCTTGCAACTATTGCATTGCTCCATTCAATTCCGCTATTCTCCCTCATTCCTATTTGGGCTGCTGCTTCCTTTCTATTCAGTCAGCTGGCCATTCCCCACTCCCATCCTCCTTCCTTCCTCCTTGGGCCTTGGCCCTTCACTCCTCCTTTGGGAAACACCATTGAGTCAAACCCTTGACCCTCGGTGTTGTTCCTCATTCCAGCTCCCTTTGTCTCCTTTCGGAGTACCCTTGCTCCTTTTGATTCCAGACCCCTCCTTATATACAATGTACATAGTAACTTGTACCCTCAGTCCGAAATCGACTTGATTTCCCCTCAAGAGACTTCCCCTCTGCTAGATCCGAAATTAGGGACCCCTAGGACAACCAGCAATGGCACAGTGCTCCGCATGAGTCACTGAGGCCAAGGTCCTTCCACGCTAAATCTCCGATTCCATTCCGGAGTTGTCTGAATCCACCTGATCTAACAGGCTCCTCACATGTACCTGTGATTGGTTGTAAGGATTGTATTCCCCTTAACCTTAATCCCCTCATTAATAATATATTATGGCATGTACTGATGGACTGGGAGTGTGAGGCTACACCAGTGCTTAAACAAGCACAC